TTTAGTGGAGTTTACGACGGTAGTAGAGTTCAAAACTCTGACTACCTCACCCAAGCACTTAAGGCTTGGGGTCGAACCACATTTGTATGTTGTTGAAGTATAAGTAACGTGTGTTATTTAATCTTTTAAAGTTGGTCATATAGGCGCCAGCAATTAATTAATAACCCATAGGTAAAGAATAGTTTAAAATGACCAAACATTGACATGATTGTTTGATTACTTAAAAAAAAAAGGAACAAAATGAAAAATTCATAACATCGTTCAGATTCTTTAATTTTCTTTTATTAATTTCGCAAAAAACAAACAGAGATGAGAAAAATCAACAAACCTTCAAAAATTGAATAAATAAGGCAAACCCACTTTAAATCTCATGGAAGCAGAAGCAGTTACTAAAAACTCACCAATATTATCAAATTCAACAATCATGAGATAGACAATCAAAATTCGAAACCCATATATCAAATTGAAAAACCCATACAGCTCTAATTTTCCTCTAAATTTTCTGGGAAAATGATGTGTGAACAAACTTGTGAAAAAAAAATTCCTCAAAAACAAAGTTAACTTACTCAGTAGTGGAAAGATTCTGAAGAACGGAAATTCTTTGTTATTTCCCATAAAATTGAAGCTCTACCATGAGAAGATGAATTGAAGAAACAAAACGAAAAAAAAAACAATTAGAAATGGCTTTTCATTCTACCAGTACGTAAAGGCGGACCAACCAATCTCTATCTCATTGCTCACAAACTACTCGGAGTATTGAAGCGAAAAATCGTGGGCAGGATAAGTTTGCGGCGGTTATCGCGAAAGCATATGTTCGGGCCTGTTTGGTGCAGTGGGAAGGGCTTCAAAAGCTGCACTAAACATTACTAGGGAAAATGTTACAATCTTTCGTAAGTTAACATTTTCTCTATTTTATTACAAATTTTATTTTAAAAGCACCGAATGGATGGTTTTATATAAGATTTGAATTTTATTAAAATTAATATTTTATTACACCTGACTTTTCAGGTCACTTGGCACCCAATCAGTTTGAGGTGTATTCCCCTCTCCTCTATTAGCGGGTTTTGAGCTCGTCCTTTAACAACTTGTTCAAAAAAAAAATAATATTTTATTTTTATTTATTTATTTATAAAAATAATATTTTTACATTTTTTTTTTTCTAACAAAATTTTTATTAAAAACTTCTTACAGCAAACGGGCACATATCAGAGTGTTGAGATTAGATGATAATATGGGCCGGTTAGATTGGGCTTAACATGACGAAAATTTTGGGCTTCAAGAAAACGTTATTAGGTATTTTTAATCAGAATTTTA